GAAAGAGGGGGGAGCAAGTGAAGGGGGGAGTAAGTGAACTGGGGGGAGTAACTGAAGGAGGGGGTTGTAACAGAAGGAGGAGGAGGGGGGTAAGAAGAAGAAGGGGGTATGAAAAATGGGGGTAAGAAGAACAAGGGGGGAGTAAGAAGAACACAAGGAGGAGGGGGGAGAGTAAGAGTGAGGAGAAGGGGAGATGAGGAGAAGGGGGGACTGAAAAGAACACAGGGAGGGTGGGTGGTGAGGAGGACACAGGGAAGAGAGGACACTAAGCGCACACACACACACAATGCATCCCTATACATACACAGACACACACAATGCATCCCTACACACACACACAGAAACACAACATGCTTCCCTTACACACAGAGAAACACACAATGCATCCATTACACACACACAATGCAACACTTACACACAAAGACAATGCATCCTTTGCACACATACACAGAAACACATAATGCAAACCCTTACACACACACTGCTTTTCTTACATACACACAGAAACACAATGCATCACTAACACACACTCAATGCACACACTTACAGACACACACCTTGCATCCCTTATGCATACAAATATAGATTCACACAATGCATCCCTTACACACAACCAGAAACACACAATACATCCCTTATACACAAATACACACTGCTTCCACTACACACAAACACACTGCATCACCTGCACAAACTGGTATCCCTATACACTACATACCATAAGCACACATATTAGATCCTCTACAATAACACATAACACATCCCCTACACACTCCACTCCCTGTGAGCGAACTCATGGGTGGGTGGAACATATAAGTGGACTTATGAGTGGGCCTTGTGGGAATACTCACCGTCAGGCCCTGGGGCCCAGAACTTGAACTGTGTAAGGGGAGCTGCTTCCAATTCTCCCAGGACATTGAATTTTGTGACCACAGTTGCAAACAGCCTCCAGAGATCCTGTTCTACACCAGACCAGTGGAGCCAAACTGCAGCCCATCATCATCCTCATCTTGTTGTAAGTAGGCAATCTAGTATATTATTAGTGACACTAATCTATAATTTACCTCACATTAAAGGGACACTATAGTCCCCAGAACGACTGCAGCTTAATGAAGTGGTTCTGGTGTCTATAGCCGGTCCCTGCAGGCTTTTTAATGTAAACACACACTGTGGGCAGCACTGGCGTTAGTTCGTATGGCAGCTCATATAGGTGGGGCATTGTGATGTCACATGGGGGGCGGCAAATACAGCTGTTCCCCATGCAGCCACAGGTGCCACTGTGCTGGGAGATTGTGATTACTCTTCACTTCCTCCCAGCTTACAGAGCAGCGCATGGGAGAGAGAGAGGAGGAGGCATGATTTAATCTTACAACAAATCCAGTAAGCAAATCTTTATAAATTTGGGGGGATCAGCTCTGTTTCCACAGTTTATTGGTGTTTACTCTGATGTCTGTATTAATATTGAAGGATTTCTAAGGAGTAACATCAGTGTGTGTCAGCAGGGCCAGCCGTTGGGGTGTGCACGCTGTGCGGTCACGCAGGGTGCCATCACAACAGAGGCGCCCGGCGGACAACACAGCTCACAAGTTGGGGACACCAGCTTATTCAATTTAAATGATTCGCTGGTGGTCCACTGGTGCGCACCAGCAGTAGGTGCAGTCAGATTATAGCCTCTCCCTCGTGGTTCCGGCGCTCAGTTAGTGAGTCAGAGCACATTGAAAGTCAGAGCCATGAAGGAGTGGGTATGGCAAAGAGCTACTGATAAGCATAACATCAATATCCGTTATAAAACTAGGAAAAGGTGGGCACCATTGCACTGATTTGGTGGTGCAATGGGCCACTTGACTGGTTTTGCCCCCCAGGCCTAAGGCTGCCAGCCCTCCCCTGCCTCACACCACAGCCCAATGCCTGGACAGATCACCCCACCCAGGACCTCAGTTGCTGGCCCCTAGTGGAGCCAGAGTCATGGGCACAGGATGAGGGCTAATACGGAGCCTAGGGCTGGCGGAGTGGTACTCACCGGACTCCCCAAATTGCCGGAACCTTGCTGTCACTTCCATCGATGGAGTCAGCAGCGAGAGTGAGCCGAAGCCTGCTTCATGGAGGGGCTTATAAGCGTGCACTTGACAGCCATCTCAAAGCACTGGGCCCACAGAACTGAGGGGCTAAACTACCAAGACTCCAGTGGTTTTATTAATTTTATTATTAGTTTTATTTATTAGATTATTGTTATTTGTTTTGTTTCACATGCTCCTCATATGTTGAGAAGGCTATCACAGTTTAAAGCTTTGCTCATATGCTTACACAGGCACTAGCCCTGTCTGAATCATTAAGCACATTACTATTGATTTTGATACATAGAAAGCGATAACTGGAGCTGCAGTGGCACTATCCTCTAGTCACCCACGCCTAGCATACTGTTATAAGCAAAAGGTCAGTTTACTCAGCTTCTTGTGTTCTTCTTAAACTGCATACTGGCTTTATGGGTCTGCTTCAGTATATAATATTACCACTTCACTCTTAGTTACTAAACTAATGTCTATACATGTTTCCAGTTGATATGCATCTTTTGTCCATCTTGCCTAGCTTGTTTAGAATTTAACAAAATGCAATTTGTTCAAACACCATGGCAAAGTACTAACCTGTAAGTAAAATGAAAGCTTGATAATGCTGTTGTGGCGTTACAAGCCTGTTTGTCCTCTTGTGCACAGTAAAAATAAAAAAATTTAAAATGGACTTTTCGTAGTATATTACGAAACCGAGGCTCGTTAATAGATTCAATGTCCATTGAGAATGTATCTGAAGAGTATGTAAACTCTGTGACATGATTAAAATATTGTCTAAGAATATTATCATTCTTACGCCTCTGCTGCGAAGAAGGGATACTACTGGTTTGAGTAATTTGGTGAAACACCAAGGTGCAGAGGATGAACCAAAGGGCAATGATTTGAATTGCCATTTCTTCCCTTCCCATATGAATTGTAAGTAACTCTGACAAGAGTGGTAGATAGGTACTGTGAGGTACGCATCATAAACCAGTTGTTGAGTATTAACAAATCTTTGAGATAATAAATGCCTTCCATCTTGAAATGATGGTATGTGACAAAATTGTTTATGAAACCTGGACTGTTCATGGGAACTTGGATAACGGCATTTTTTTAAAACAAATTTAATATTTCTTGATGTATCAGGTGATGTATTTTTTATTGGGAAAGGTACCTGTTTTTGAACAGGATTTGATATGAAATCTGTTTTGTATCCCACAACTGTACTTAAGATCCAGGCATCATTTGTAATCTGATTTCAGACATGGAAATAGTGAGAAAGTCTGCCTCCCAATTTTTTGGGTGAAGAAAGAGGAATTGTCGTACTCACCATACGATGATCTGAAGCGAGATATTCCTCAAAGACCTCTGGATCTCTATGGTCTGCCATGAAGTGGGAAAAATGGAGATGTCTGTTGTGTGTTAAATGAGGATCTGTTCGTCTGTTTTGAGAGAAGAGGCTGGAAGAGCGGTTACTTCCTCTTGCAGGCCTTCCGAAAACTCTCTTCAGTGAAGTTTGAGCGTTATCTAAGGAACTAAATAGGTTTACATATTTATTAATGTCCCTAATAAATGAGTCTCCAAACAGGAGTCCTTCTGCCGCTGGTCCTGGTTCTGTAGTGGCTAGGTTGGCTAATTGTGGGTCAATTTTTATGAGTATTGACCTTTGTCTTTCTGTGGTTAGACCTGTATTAGTGTTTCCTAGAAAACATACAATTTGTTGTGTCCATCTCTAAGGATGTCAATACTGGGGGAATTCCTTGAAGCAGAAGCTTGTTCTAGGACTTGAAATATTTTAGTCACGGGACCAGAAATATCCATTAGCTTGTCCTTACAGGATGTTAGTGACCTGTCAAGTCCTTTGTTAGGATTCTTCCCTGATTTTGTTAGAAACTGTATTAAAGTAGGATCTAAGTCAGGGGTCTGTGCGACTATTTTAGCTAAAGTCGGTCTAGGGCATTCAGCCTGCGGCTTATTCCTAGCTGCCAGGTCAAGGGGTTTCCTTAATCAATATTCAATGCATTTGGCTACATGAGCCATCGGAATCAATTCAGCTGAACAGGGATGTTTTATATTATCTGGAATAAATAAAGGTTTTCCTGCAGTATCCGTAATAACGTGATCATAAGATTTTGAAACATGTTCAGGTACCTCGAAGTATGCAGAATAATCAGAATCAACATCAGATTCTTCATCTTCAGAAGATGAGGATGAATTATCAGAGGAGGTTTTAGAAGAGTCAGGTTTGCTCATGTGAATGGTCTTCTGAGCTTTTTTGTCTTCCTCACGAGCAGAGGGTTTTGTGAGTAATTTATTCTCATCAAATTTGCGTGATATACGCATTTCATTATGGTCTGGGTCCTTCCCTTTTTTAGATGCTTTTGAGCAAGAAGGAGAATAATAAGGACTGTCAAAACAATGTTTACACTTTGGTCAGAGAGAGTATTCATTACCTCAGTCTGTTGTGCAGGTTTGGTAGATTGGCTGATAGCATGAGCCACAGGTTTTTCAATTGCCTCTTGCTTAGAGGACATAGTAGAAAATATTGCAGATGATACTGATTTGTTAACAGATAAATCAACAATCCTCAGTTAGGATTTCACATTCAGCATTAGCACCAGTAATTGATGACTGTGGAAGAGTTTTCTAATAATAATCAAATTCCAGCAGTCTGCAATAAAATAATTCTAGTAGTCTGCAATAAAGTAAATAATAAAATTACAATAGTATAAGTATTAATTGGTAAAATAACCTGCACTGGATACAAATTGTGTCAATGTAATCTTTCTCAGAGAAGAAACAATGTCAGCTTAAGGAATCTGCTGAGGTAAAGTAGGCACTAATGGGCGGGTAAAAAGGGGCGGGAAAGAGCTAGTTAATAACCAACAAGCTGTGAAAAAAGCTGGAAATGACGTCAGATTAAATCTGAGGTAAATTGAATGTATGAAACAACCGAACAGTTAAACCCGTTCGCACTGCAAATGAGAGGGAAAAAAAGCCGAATTGAAGTAAACTCAATATCTTTGAATCGCGAAAGGGGTGTTCGCGAAAAGTAATAAAAGCGCGAATAGCCTTTGACTAGAAATACATGAAAGGCCAACCCCTGGAGCGAAAAGGGAGAGGGGAGCATGACTGCTGCCCTGAGGGGTTGGCATAGCAACCAAAAGGATAAAGTTGGTTTTACAGTTGAAAGCATGGAACCCTTCTCTTCTGGTGGCTGTGGAAGTTACGTTGGCGTGTTCAGACGCAGAGTGCCTCTCGCTGGAACTCAGGTGGGGTGTACGTGACATCTGCAAATCTCACAATGCAGACGTCACAGGCCCCCACTGAATCCAGAATTCCCAGAGCTCCTTGGACTGGGGAATCGGAGGAGAAGCACAGGTGGCTCCCGGCAAGTGGGGCAGGCCAGCGGGTGGTAACAGGCTGGTGGAGGATTTCACCAGCTTCTGGACCGGAGGCCAAGGAGCACCAGGGAGGGACGCAGGATTCCCCTCCACATGCACGGCATGGATGGACTGGAACTCCCTGGGGTGTG